TGAAGCAAGTCCAAACGAGAGAGCTTGGAATTGATACATCTGGTCTTTGTGCAAAAAATGAAGAAATTGACAAGAAGACTCTGCTATGGGGATATGAAGGTAGGCATCTGTAACATTAAACTTGGTCATTCAAAGTTCTGGTGTGAAGTGCCATTGAAGTTCAAGAAAAGATTCCATGGTGAAACGAGGAGGTTGTAGGAAGAGATTGAGTCGAGACAGATTGATGATAAGATGCCAATCTCTAGTGTTCTTTGTCACCAGAAAAAAGACGAGAATAGAATCCTGGATGAACGAGATCAACCTTCTGAATGGGTAGACATTGATGCCACTATCCCGACCTTCCAAAGATCCCAAGAATACTAAGGGAACTGATTCTGTAAACCAATAGGACGAGATGTTGAAGGTGGGGGCTGCGAGACGCGAATGATCGATCCTCCCGAATTACCCATTGGAGGAGAAGAGAGGCAAGTAGCCAATGATGATAAAGAAAACTGCAAAAGTGCTATATAAAATTAGGCTTTGAAAGTTTTAGAGACGCCAGCAATCTAGTAAGGCCGAATAAGGGGTGCCTCCCAGAAATCATGAAGAGGAGTATCACAATACAGTAGTAAGAGTTAAATTAATGTTAATATTATATACGTTTTAATTCCTTAATTTCAAATTGAAATATTGAAATAAATTCTCAATCTTCACTTTTCTGCATTACTAGACACTTCTTCACTCTAAATTGCCCATTTTAGATCTTCTGAGTTTGGTACAAATTACACTTTTATACAATAGATACCGCTCAGCTATAATTTAAATTTCTAGCCTCCAAACTTCTTGCTTTAATGAGATACTGATAAGAAATCAAACATACATGTCAGACCACTCCTATAACATCCCATCTTTCAAAACAATGTCAGTAATTTTAATATTTGCTATTGGATTATTTATAACCAATAGATTGTTTGTTTGTTTGAAGTTAAGCACAAAGCTACACAATGGGCTATCTGTTCTCTGCCCACCATGGATATCGAAACCTGGTTTCTAGCACTGCAAGTCCGCAGACATACTGCTGTGCCATTGGGGGGGCACATAACCAATAGAAAGAAAATACTTGTATTTGCTGAATTTGCTATGAGACTAGCTTGTTCAGCTAACAGATTTTAAAATATATGGCTTCAATTTTATTGTTTGATATTGTGGAATTTGCTTGACCAACTTATGGTATTTTATCAACCCATTCATAGCTTAGTTAGAAAGCAAGTTAAATTATAGTAGTTTTAGTACATTATTTTTTTGGAGTCTTTTAATATTTTGTGTTCTAAGTTTCATATTTGAAATAAAAATAATGTCTTTATGGTAAACCAACATTGTTAGAAAACAGTATAGTTACTATGATTTATATTCCCAATGACAAAAAAACAACAACAACAAAGGATCCTGATGTAAATAATAATTTTTTGTTTTTAAGGAAATTTTTATTTATTGTTATAAAAGTAAAAAAAGATTAAACAATTAACTTCAAACTCATTAGGTTAGAAAAAAAAATTACCCACTGTGAGAAATGGCTTTCACCATACTCTGAGAGGTCTAAATTCAGCTTTAAAACAATAAACTAAAGGAACCCAAATTTGAAAAGTATCAGCTTTGGCTATAAAAATAAGCGGCGTGTAATTAATTGTCTTATTACATATACTATAATACTAGAAAGAAAAAAAGGTAATTTAGACTTATTTCATATTTTACATTTTAACCCTAGATTGCTGATTTTAATACAATTAAGTGTGAGGGTAGAGAGAAAAAAAAAAGATAAAATACAAAGTTTTACTGGAAAACCATCTTTAGATATTCCTTTAGGAGGTTCTAGAGGTTATACAAATAAAATAATGATAACTTTTAGATGAAAAAGGGTTTTATTCTTAGCATGAAATCACTTTACAGAGTCTGTGTCAGAATGAGTCCATAAACTGAGACAGATTTTTAATAAAATTACTTTTTTTAAAAAACTCTGATTCTTTTTTCATTAACAATAGAGTTGTAATGTTTACTAAAAGTTTGCAAAGTTTATAAATGCAGAATTATGGTAAACATTCCTACATATAGCATCACAGAATGGGGATTGATGCAATGCACCATCGTTCATACAAGATTTAGTTACTATTATATGAAATATTGTGTGTTATATTTTACATTTTGAATAATAAGATCTATGTTATACATCAAACATTAACAATTTATCAGTTGTTTAGTACATCTGTTTGTTAAAGTAACAATAATTATGGAAAGCTAGAAATACATAATGTAGGAGTATATGTCTGCACAAAAAATTCTAATGTTGCCATAATAGGCCTATTTGTATTTACAGTAACAACAAATCTGGAAATCTAATAGTATGAAATAAAAACTAATCTTGGCTAAAATATTATGAATTACCTACTCCAGGTTTTAATGACAAATAAATAAATAAAATACATATCTGTATCAAACTCCATGTATTGTTTGTCTTTTTATTGAATTCCGTTTAAAGCTACTTAAGAGCCATACTTAACTTTAAGGTGACAGACTAGAGGAAAGTCATCTGGTAATAAAACCCACTACTAACTCTTGGACTACTTTAATTGAATAGTGGGAAATCAACCATTTCTCTTACAAATGCATCCACATCCTCCAAATGGGGCATGTTCAGTCATGTATTGTTGAATTATCTACTCCAGGCTTTAGTAATAATGTATAAATAAATAAAATACTTCTGTATCCTAATATTCCTTTTTATTTCTTATATTTCTTTTCTTTGCTACTTACATTTCCAAAAACAACCCATAATATGATGATGGCTAGATACTAAGCCTATTATTTAGAAGAATGTTACTAATGAGTTTTAAGTCTAGATAGCATTTAACAGAAAATAAACCTAAATGTCTCAAATTAGATTGTAGAATATGCCCTGTTTGAATTTTAATAGTCATTCATAATGTACAACAAATTATTCTGAAGTTAATACCTGTAAGTTAAGCCCTGAAAGTTAAAATGTTCAGTTATAATCTTTCCAAGTGGTCTATGAGGCATTCCTCAGGCCTATTCCAAACTTTCAATCTTTTAAAATATTTAATCAGGCAAGTATAAGCTACAACCAAACACACCATGCCAACGAACTGTAGAAACAATCTTTATAAATTAAATCTGTGAGTAATAAAACAAATCACTGGGTCAGGGACAATTTTACTGAAAGAAACCAAAACCATCTTGCAGGTTGCAACTACATTCCTGGGAGCAAGACTGTGAATCAATGGAAAATCACTACCTCTTTGAGTGAACTTCTGAGGATGATCACTTGGGGAAAAGACTGAGTTAAAATCCACAGTAAAAATTTCACTGAAATCAGGATAGCTGATCAGCTGACAGGCAGAAGTCTCTAAAAACATCAACATTAACTTTCACAAACTTCTGGAAAACAAAAAAAGAGCTACGAGAAGGCTTACATATTTTTCTTCTACATACTCCCCTTATACAGAAGTAATTAAAGGAAGGCAACATTCAGAATCATTTCCATGTATATGTACAAGTATTTTCACAGAGATAAGTGAAAATAGATAAAATTCTGAGTTCCTTACCATTCAGTAATCATTATAAATAAATTAGAACTCAAAGTATATAAATAATAATAAAAAACACAATGGTGAAAAGAAACATATAAAGGGACAAAAATATATCAGCAATTTAACTTTAACATGCAAGAATTCTAAATGTACAAAAATATACATTTTCTTATAGCAGTCATATCAGTACACTTTTCACAAATCCCAAACATTCAGCAGAATAAATTGGAATCAAGGATAACTTAGATTAATAAATAAAATATATACAATTATCTTACATTAACTATTGTCCAAAAAATAAATTTGTATAAAAGAACAAATTTCTCAACAGTGCATAATTTAATAAAGCTTTGTTTTATTTGAGCACTGTTTAGTAGAAAACTGACAGAGAAAATAGGTAAGTAAGTTCATTAACCTAAGATTTAGTATAATCTAGGATGTAACTGACACTTATCTAATATCTGGAAACTGACTTTATACTCACAGAAAGTAATAAAAACGATTACTTTGAAGCTTTCAAAATGTAAATCATGCAAGTTATTTTTCCACTCACTTTGGACAATAATTTACTTTATTGTTTTTATCACATCACCATAACCTTTGATTATTCATTAGAAGTCCCTTGAAACATTTTACAATACACATTACATTCAAACAAAAATATTTACTAATTTAAAATCGTTATTTCACAATACTTGAGTTTTTTTACTTAAAGGTAAAGAAGTAAAGTTTTGTAGTGAGACAAACATCATACTTGGTAAGGTAATAATACTGCAACCTGTAACAAGCAGGAGTGCATAACATCAGCCTTTCAAGTAGTCATCTATCTCATTTTTTTTAAATTAAATTCTAAGTTTATATTTCATTAAAGTTTGGACCATCAAAGAAGCATTTCCTATCACACTTTAATAACTATATACTTGCACTTTTAAGGCATCATATTACTTCTCCATGAAATCTGTAGAGCAGAAATTGATCTACTTAGAAGTAAAGTACATATACATGATAAACACATATAAGCTGTTGTACAGTGTACTTCTTTATTAAAACAACCTTCCATAATAAACATACAAGCAGCAGCAAGTCACATTGAAAGATAGAGAATTGTTGTACAACATTGCCTGGGATTCATAGCATCTATACATATCATACACATGGTATGTTGAAACCATATAAAATACTAATAATCATAAAGCTTTATATTATCCATAATACACAAAAAATAAAACAAATCTATCAGCTTATCAGAACATTGTGGTTTGAGGCTTAACTTTATATAAACTAAACAATTACAAACAAGTACACGTAAATACTTTATTTTATGCAACTAAAACATACTTAAAACATACATTACTTACTACACAAGAGCATCTAACTCTAAAATCTGTCTTGCAATCAACATAATTTTAAATCACTTACCACTTATATGAAGATTATGCATATCGGGGGGAGGAGGAATTGCTGGAGGCTCTTCCTCTGGTGTCACAGTCACTGCATGACGTACCTGACCCACAGATGTTATAAGCTAAAGAAAAAAATAATTTCACCCATCAACTTGTAATTTTCATATTCAAACACTAGAAAAATCACAAAAGTACGTGTTTTTGTTTCTTTACTAAAATTACATTTTGGTCAACACAGTAATTTTTGTTAGAAAATAAAATTAACATTCAGTGAAAGTTATTTATTCTTCCAAATCATCCTAATAGTATCCACAGCTTAATATATAAAACACAACTTCAGATGGATTTGTTCTTTTCATCAATAAATCTAATAACAAAAAAGCTACACTCATGTTACTGTTAATAAAATTAGATAAAATCCAACAATGTCAACACACATAATTAAAAAGAATGTCTTCAAAGAAACTTTAGTTCATTATCACAGTAAAACTGACAACACAAACTTGATAAAGCCATAATAATAGAATTATATGAATACAAATTAGTATGAGATGTTGATAATATTACAAAATAAGATTCCCTGAAACAATACACAGCAATCTTGTTGTAATGTGCATGTGACTTCAACTAAGTGAAAATTCAGGGCTCTGAGAAGGAATTTGAAAGATATTTCTCATTTTTAGTGTTTTACTATTCTAAGAGAATGAGTCAAAATAGTCCAATTTTATTGTTTTTGACACCAGCATTAAGTTATACTTGTTTTGAATCACATAAAAAAGAAACAAATTTACAAGAATAAATGTGAATTCCTGCAGTTCTACTACTTGTAAGTTTTGTCTATTTAGGTGGCAAGTTTGTTTGCTGTTAAGCCCAAAGGTACACAATGGGCTATCTGTGCTGTACCCACCACAAGTGGTAGTAATGTTTCCAACAAAATTAAATTCAAATTTAATTACTTTAAAAAGCCTGTCTTTTACCACAATTACACTTTCAATATGAGCACTAGGGTGTCACTAAATTAGTTCTGACTATTATAAGTTTTATGACAACACTTTCAATGAAAGTAATTAATTATTAATGGTTAGTAAAGACAGTTTTTTGAGATAAAGGAAGAAACTGTAGATCATGACTTTACATTATGAAAGCAGTCAATGATATATTTGACAAGATTTTTTAATTTTTCAGTAAATTAATAAACACAATATTATTAACAGAATTGTTAATATAAATTTATAATGAAACATTTTTAACTTTCTGTAATAACTTAAGTTTTCATAATAAAGATTTTGAATCATCAGTGGATAAAATAAAAATGAATAATAAATCACTTGTAAATATGAGAAAATATTAACAAATTTTGATAACATATATGTATAAAAAAACATAATACTTACAGTTTTGTTTGATTCCTGCCATCTGGATACAGCTCTGTGGTCAGTCATATCCATAGCAACTGCTTTGGCATCCTGTACCATAGGAGTTACAGCTATTTGATCAAAAACAAACTTTAATTCCTCTTTGAAGTAAGATGTACAAGCTCACATTACCATTCCCTAATCAACTGAGAACTGTAATTTCACACATTAGCTCAATTTGATCAACAGTATAATATCACTGAATAAAACATGATGTAAGTGTGGAAGTTTAACTTATGTCAACTCATGTGTGTGTGTGTGTATATATATACATTGAATTTATAAAATGTTCTATCCTAAAACATTTTAAAGCTATGTTTCTAACTATAGCACTTGTATTTTGTTAACCTTTCAATTCTGTAACTATAATTTGTGGCACGTAACAAATTCATAACTAGCTGAGAACTGCACTTTCAAAATAAACAAAGCATTGAGTATGTTATATTAAAATGACTTTGAATATGCAAGTCAGCAAAAAATTGACAACCAAAACTAATGTAAAGTCATGGTAGAACTGCATGTATCAAAACTACTTTGGAATTTAAATTTGATGATTACACAATCTTGTCAAAAAATTGCACATTTATAATAAAGTTTTTTTTTACTACTCACTCAAGCCATCTCCAAAGTTTTACTTTGATAATGTTCGGTATTTTGTAGGTAGTGTGATACCAATGGGAAGAATATGTAAGAGCCTTTTTCTGTTGCAAGATAGTCATACACTCAGATCATACAGCCATGTTAAGATTCAGGTTACAGAAATTTCAAGAGGAGGATACCTATTGTACTTAATGGCATTAGAAAACAAAGGAATATAGATTAATTTGTGAAAAAGGACTATCCAGAAATAGATCTGCAACATGTCATACCCCAGTCATGGTAAGTAAAGTGTGCCATTTTATTAGAGGTGAGAATCCACACACTAAATGATCAGTGGAAAAAGCTGTTCATGTGTACCAGCCAACAATGTCCAACAAAATCAAGATGGATCTTTACTTGAAAAAGTGATACTAATTGCTTCCACAACATATCCTTTTAACCAAACATGGGGACATGGACTGTAAAGATGTGATGAAGTTTCAAAATCACTTTAATGTCACATACTCAACCTATGTACTTCTCTAATCAGCTAAGCTATGGTCAATAACAAAAAAAAAATCACTTAACCCTTTCGCAATGGGTACCACTTTAAACCCTTTTCTGAAAAAGTCAGTGTTACATTCAAAATTTAATTAAACACCTTTACTGTTGATGTATGTGAATGAAATTAACATTATAATGTATGTCATGATTCAAAGTTTTATGTCCTTTATTTCAAAAGAAACCTTCAAAAACTACTTAAAACTTCATATGTTTTGTCACATGACCAATGAGCTATGAAAATTCTTTACTTTGGCTCTCTGTATCTTCAATAATACAATGGAAATTGAGTAGATTTATGTCTAGACTATGAGATGCTTACATAACCTTTTGACTCATACATTTCAAAGTTCTATGAATGAATGCAGTTGAAACAATTTTTTTTTCAATTCCTGACAGGTACCCTTCCCACCTTCAACATATTTGTTTGAGCTTTATAGCCTACATGTTGATGTTACATACACATGTGAATATTCATTAGAAAAAGCTCATTTTACACTATAATCTAACTATGGTTATTTTGAAATTGGTATGCAGTTGTCATCATGGAGTACAAGTAACTGACTGTAGTATTGCTGGCTGCTTGATCAACTATAGCATGTATGGTTGTTTCTTATCTCAATATGTTATAGTTAGAGATACAGTTAAACTGTATTTACGTCTTACTTTTATATTTCAGTTAATTATGTTTTAAATATACATCATTCTTTGCATCAGTTCTCAAACTTAGGATATTATGGGGTTAAATAAAATTTTGCTAAAGGGTTGCACACGTCTGCCAAAGAGAATGTAATATGCTTCAAGAGTACCATTGGTTTGTGTCGAGATGAATAATAACTGATAGAGAACAGGAAAGGAAAATAAAACAATAAAAATTAACTACATGTGAAAAGGAAAAGACCCAAATTATGAATATAACCAAATCCACATATTTAAAGATATTCTACAAAAAAGTAAAAGATATTTACTTTTTCTATTTCCTAATTTTAATCATTTCATTGTATTGTACATTGATGATAATAGCTAGAGTTAATATGGTAAAGAAATTGAAAAATAAAATATAAACATAAATATAAAAACTTTTGATATTCATTTAATAAGTTCTAAAGGTTATGCAAATGAAATATGAAAATTATAAGATGAAGAAAAATATTTCTATTCTTAAAACAAAAATCACCTTGCACTCAAATTATTTAACACTTTGAGTGCAAATAACCACTACAGATAAATAAATGTTTTATAAGAAAGACGTAATTAGAATAATGTCATTCTTTGTGTACAAAATAATTATAAACAAAATCTTACAAGGTTTTGTGAGAATTGCACAGTTACCATATTTCTGTTGCATAAATGTCCTTTCCTAATCAAGCGAATGCCAATCAGATCTGCTCGTGTCTAACCCTACCGACATGGGTCTTTGCATTTGTTGACTCGCAATCAAAATTTTATCAAACTACTATTTTATGAATGTATGTTAATATGTTTGGTATCAAATTGTAGATCATAATTCAAATTTTAGTATTATACATTAGTTAATTTCTTAATTTAAAAGTAAATATAAAAATATACTAAATATCCATTTTTGTGTCACATGGTATGTTGAATGCAGCATTAGTTCAAATTAGATACTTGTAACTACTGATACTCAAACTACTGATATTGACAAGCTAGAATATAAACTAAGAACCTCCTATCTTTGTTATTTACTGAGATATTGCTACATTTATTGAAACAAACATGGTGACTCTGCCCACCTCTTCAATTTTTAGAAATACTTACTCATGTACACATATTTCACCTAATGATGTGTGTGTATAACCAATCAAAAGCTCAGAACATCCCCCTAGTGGTTTTCTCAGCCTCTACAAAGAATTTGCATGGCAAACTCTTTCTTTTCTTACTAGATTCCAAGCAGTAAGGTAACACATTAGTAAGCTCGAAAATCATATTCTTTAGACCCAAATACAGCTTATTTACTAAGGTTGATACATTATAGCGGAATTCTGTGGTACTGATATAGCAATTTATGATTTTTGTTTATTTCAAAATGTATATATCAAACCTAAAAAATTAATTTTGTTTCACATTCTCCATGTGAAAAATTTGATAAGGCTTAGCAACTTATGACAAGCAGAAAACTAGTTCAGAATTCCTAACTGGAAGAGATAATTGTTTATTATACTTCTTTAATTGCTGTTTTATGTTTTAAGAAAAATAATAACTTATTTGTAAATAGTAATTTTATATATACATATATAATGAATTATAACTGAAATGTGACTGTATTTTACAAAATACTAGTCCAATAAAACATAGCCATGACAGGTCATTTTGTAAAGGCCAGTATTATATTCTTGGATACAGTAATATGAGTGCACATGCAAAGCGTTATTACAACTTCTGTAATGTTACCCAGGCACACCTGAAAGTTCAATATAATAAAAAATTATGTATAGATGTATAATGTTATGAGAATCAAGCTATTTAGACTAAACATTTGTGTTTTCATGTGATAATCTGTAGTGATTCTAGAACGAAAAATTCATAACTTATATTTATTTCCTATTTTTTTATGGTGGCTACGAGGTCAGTCAAATCGACTAAACTCTTAGAGAAATACAATAGTGAAAATAACAGATATATATGAAACAAAGTAACAGAACTATTCCATGAACAGCTGGGTAAAACTGTTTTGAACTATTTCAGCACTCCTCAGTTCTACTAGGCTAGATTAAAGGTTTCATATAATAGTTTTATATGACTGTAAGTGGAAATAGAAAAAAAAAAGTATAAAAATAAGTGTACAACAGCAGTATTTCAGTTGAAAAATTTCATCATGTATTTTTCAACACAGACATTCCATTTTTTAAAAAATGCCCATAAAATTGATGCACCTAAATATCTGTGAGATAAAAACATATAAAAATATTGTATGTACAGTAAAAGCTTTGTTATTCAACATCTTCACATTGGAAATCTCCAAATACAAATGCTCATTTTAGAATCATGCATTCCTTACAATTCCATCTGGAATGTCTCAAATTGCTCTCCTAGCTTCCCAAAAGTTTGCAATTGTAGTTAGCTGATGCTGCTGTTCAATGGCACCACATCAATTCCCATCGGCAAGCTTAAGATGCAAGTCACCTGTGCTTACTTTATTAGCAAATACATCCAGAAGTTATGGCTTCTAATTCTAGCAAGAAATAATGGTTTTATACAGTTTAAAGTTTTAAAACATTTGTTATTCTTTAAAACTGTTATTGTAATAGATCATGTAGACATACTGTACTTTAGAACATTAACAAGGTGTCAAAATATTTCCTGTAAAATATCATCAGGTAAATGTTTTCAAAACCAGAATTGTTGCCTATCTGGCACTGCTCAGGGACAACAGTTGCCAGCTTTTACCATAATTTGTTAATTACATTTAACAAAATATCAACTTAGTTTCTATGGTTGCTAAGTTCTTACAAAATAAGTCTGATAGATACAATAATAAAAACTGAGGACTTACCACTAAAATTTATTCAGGTGTTAACATAGAAATGGAATGAATGCTATACTAATTTTGGAGTTTCAAACTTCTTACAGAAAGAATAAGATTACTTACCATACCGAAGTCAGTTAGCTAGTACACTGACTTCAGTGATGTGGAGTTTTGGAGTTTAAGACTCATAATTAGCAGAATAAAATGACAAGATGGCTTACCACATTGAAGTTGGTCAGCTGCTATATTGACCTGGCTAATATAATGTGGATCCTCAGAGTTTTCAGACTCCTGCTTTGCTAACATTAAAACTCGATTAGCCAGTCGAGCAATGCTGGAAGTATTGTCAACCATGTGCTGGGGTTCTTGGTGAACAACAGACTCTTCACATTTCTTTGTATGCTTCATTATACAGTCCTCTAATCAAAAATAATTATACATTATTAAGCACTTCAATGCATCATTAGTTTCTTGGACTGAAAATAGACTTTTAATGAGCTTTTCGTTTTTAATTTCTTTATCATAAAAACTATTGTTTGAAGCGATTCATCAATAACTAACAACATTGATTAGACTTTCATCAAGTCAAAAAATTTCAGTTTGTTAAATACAGTTGTCAAAAATAGTAGATTTTAATTCTTGTTTTTGTGAATTGCAAAATTTTTGTTGCACCAGTTATGAGGTGCAATAGTTAAAATAAAACAGTCAATTCAATCACAACATACAGTTCAGAAGTACTAACTAAATGAAATAAACATATCAATGATTAAGACATAATTTAAACCAATCACAAATTACAGCTTTGCAGCTCATTTTTCTTCATCAAAATTTAAAACCATAGAAATCAATACATACAAGGGATACCTAATTATATATATATATATATATAAGCTGAGACTACCCATTCTTTTGTCTGGGTTATGTAAACTTAAAAAAATGTGAGGGTGGATGCTATGATAAATAACAACAAAAATACTAACTTTCACACAATTTATTTATAACATATTATTACAGTATTCATCATTACCTCACTAAAAGTTTGGTATAAGCTTTAAGAACTCTTAAAATATGGTATACACTGTGTGACTGTCAGGGTGAGTTTGTAGGAAAAAGTAGCGACCAAAATAGTGGCAGTAGGGATGCTTTCTGTTACCCCTTTTCAACATCAAGCTCTTAATGTCCTTCCATACTGTTTCACATTATTAATTAATTGACAGTCATTGGCCTCCGATGTGTCTTACGGGACAAAATTGTAAGGTCACAGGTCAAAGTAGAAGGTGGGTATAACTCAAGAAATGACTCTTCATATCAGCCTTATGGTGGCTGTTGGAGAAAAACCATCTAAGTTTATGTATTATTACAACAGTGGCTAGTGCACTCTCTGAAAAATGCAAAACATTTGTGTGCCCCCCCCCCCCACACTGTTGGTTTATAGAATGTTATGGAAAATTTAACAACGCTTTTTGTTTTTGATGTAAGGACATGTTGCCATCTATGAATGTAGTTAATGTCAACTTAAGCCAAAGTTGATAAATGCTGAATAACAGCAATAGTGGGGGTGTAGGGGGTTGTGAACCCCCATTAACATGCTTCTTGTTCCCAACTATCATCCTATAAAGTTTGGTTGAGATTGGCCTGGTAACCTAGGAGTGATTAGATAACTGACAGACAGACAGATAGATACACAGATTTTTGTGCTTTATATATATATATATTTGGTAATTTTTCTTATTGGAAGGTGATAAAAAATAGTAGATTTTCTAATATTGATAACCTTGTATCTCTTTGTAGCAAAATAGTATAAAAAACTTTGTCCTTGATGTAACTAGTATTAGCAATGTTCTGCAGCTTCACAGTAGATTGTTTTGAATATGATACTGATTACACAGAAGATTGTATTGAAAATGATACTGATTACACAGAAGATCGTATTGAAAATGATACTGATTACACAGAAGATTGTATTGAAAATGATACTGATTACACAGAAGATTGTATTGAAAACGATACTGATTACACAGAAGATCGTATTGAAAACGATACTGATTACACAGAAGATTGTATTGAATACGATACTGATTACACAGAAGATTTTAATGTTTCTCAAATGGAAAACACAAGTTTGGAAAGCTACTTTCATGAAAAAACTATTCAAATAACATACCTGATGCTTTTATGAATTTCACAGTATCTGTAGCCTCATCAGCAAGATTTCTCATTTTTTGAACACTTTCAGCATACTGTTTCCTCAGGTTCTCAAAATGTTCATCTGCAGCCTTTAAAACAAATACTGTAGTAATTTAATTTTTCATGATATATATTTCATTGTCTTTTGTATTTCAACCTGTAACTTGTCAGGCAAAAGTGCTTTAACAACTGAACTCAAGAGTAACCAACTAGTGCTTTCTAGCAAGTTACTAGCAAAGTACTATAATACCTCATGCTTCTATGGCATAGACTTAAAAATAAAAATCCAAGTATTTTAATTATATCACTGAAAAACAACTTTTAAAATGCCTGTTTCTTGATATTGTAGTATAATATCTTTGGATATTTCTCAATTTAGACTTTACATATACAGGGTTGAGTATGTTATATTAAAAATATTTACATATGCAAATTAGCAAGTCATATGACAACCACAGCGAATATAAAGTCATAATAACAGCCCTTCCCAATGTAAAATATTCATACACTCAAATCATAAAGATGTGTCTAGATTGAGAATACTAGAATTTTCAAGATGGGGATATCATTTGGGTATAACAGCATTAGAAAAAAAAGGATTATAAATCAATTAGAAATGTCACAATCATCTAGAAACAGATCTGCAACAAGTCTTGTGGTAAGTAAAGAGTGTAATCTCATAACAGGTGAAAACCTAGGAATACAGAAGTCATTAGCTAAAGCCATCCATATTCCCTAAGAAACAATACAAAACATAATAAAGATTTTCTATCTTAAAACAAGGCCAATAGGGTATGGTTTCCCAAAATAAGGCTACCTCCTACTCAACTAGTTGTACACCTCAAGCAGCTGGAGAATGAAACAGATATTCATGCTATTTATAATGATCAAGTCTCCAGATGCATGGATTTCTGTGCAATCAAAATCTTGAAATGGCCACTATGAAAACATCATCCTCATACACCAGATGGATTAAGGAAAATAATAAGGACTGATGAACAGCCCTTCACTAATTTATTTACTACCATTCTCTGAAGTACAGAATTTAATATAAAGTACTCATTGTAATATAGATATTATGAAAGCAAAATCTAATTTTTATAACCTTCAATATTTTCTATTTATGGAGTCAAAGCTAGAAAATCAGACCCTCTTTACCACAGTCACCTGTTACATTCCTTCTTTCACAAATAGTCAATAATTCTGACATTTTATATTATAATATTTTAAAAGAATAGACAAGCCAAGTTTTAATTTATCAAATGATAATGCTATGTTATTTTCAGTACAGAGTATCGCCAATTCTGTCTTCAGTTTGAAAGCTTATCTCGTGATGTTCAGATTGAAGAGCTAAGGAAATTATTCTAATCCCCTCTTCTCTTTGTTAGAAAGCCAGTTAAATTATAATAGTTAAAGGACATTGCTTGCTTTGTGCATGTTATTATCCTGTGTTCTTAAGTGCATTATTTAAGTAAATAAAAATTATTCAGTGTACTAGTACCACCATTATAAAAAATGTAAGTTTAAAGTTCATCGGCAATTGATAGCAAAAAAAAAAAAAGGTCAAAGTTAGGTACTATATTTCATTTTTCATGTACATGTTTTATTTATTGTTATAAAAGTAATAATAATGCAAAAATTAGAAGCTTATTAAGTTAGATTACATAAGATAATGAAAATTAATAATAATAATAAAAATTCTTCATGAGATATGCTCATGAGCAGCTTATGTGTTGTGTCATTCGATATGGTAATATGAGCTACACATTTGCCGAGTGATTTACAACTTATATGGCAGAATTATTAGTTAGACACTGTTCAAATGGCAATCTACTATATAAAGACAAAAAGCCAACCATCTGTCTTACTGATATCTTGGGCATTGCAGTACCGATCGACATGCAACTTGCATGAAATGATGGTGCTTTTTGCCACGACAAGCAAGTTTGTCTTTTTAAATTCTTCCAGCCATATATATGTATAAAATGGATGATACGCTACTTTGTGCATATAATTAGATTTCTGGGTAAATTGGTAGAGATCATGATGAGTAATAAAATGGAGATAACCAAATATACGTAAAAAATGTTGTTTTCATGAAATACTAGAAATAGAATAGTTATTCTACATACATATATTATATATATATTACATATATTATATATATATTATAATTAATGTTTTAAAAACATGTTTTTAAGAAGAAAAATTAACCATTATTTCCCATCATATGATGGGCATTTAGCTTGTAAAACAATAAAATTTTAAAGTAGAAACAGAAGTAGACTATTATGAGCCTTAAGCAAATTGGGATAAACAGTTGTAGTTTTCTGTTACAATCTGCGGTTATTATAGAAAGAAAAAATGGGTAATACAGTTTTATTTCATATATTTTTATGGTGCTTACAAATTGACCAAGTCCCTAAAGAGCTAGAGTAGAGGAAATAACAGAAAAAATATAAAGTTTTACTAAAAAAAAATTTGCTTAGGAGGTTTTAGAGGTTAAGCAAATAAAGTTTCACAATTTTCAGAGGAAGTATTTTTAATCTTAATAAGAAAATCACTTTGTAGTCAGAGCAGTAAACATTCTGATTCTATATATTCACTGGCAAATCTTTAGTAAAAACACTTAATTAAAAAATCTGATTTTTTGTGTACAAAAGACTTGTAATATTTACTGGAAGCTTGCCAAATTTCATGAAGATACACACACTATACTAAAAGTTATAGTATGGCAACTCCAAGAGTTACTTTATGGTTTCAATGTCAGTCACATTGTCCAACCCCATACATATAGATTTAATATAAGATACTCAACCCTCTGAAGCAATCAAAATGAGAAACAATTCTTAATTACATTTTTACAAGTCACAGTTACATAGTAAGAAAGGATACGTTTTAAACAGGTATGGTGTTTCAATCACTAGAGCAATCATC